TTTTTTCTGAATTCTCAACTGAATAATAAATATGTAAGATTTTAATGTTAAAAAAGTGTATGTAATAAATTAAATGTTTTGAATGTAAGTTTCTGAACGAATTATTAAATCGGCTTTTTCAAGAATCATTTAAAATGATTCTATAATACTCTTATAGTTTTAAATTGTAAATAAAAATTACTGTACTATAAATTTAACTTAGAAAGTAGTCGTTGGGAAAGTTAAGCCCGCCAGTAATCCCTGCGCTCGGTATTTTGGTGCTTTTGTTCTTCAGAAGAGAATCTTCGACACCATCAGCAAGGTTTGCGGTTCTCGGTCCCAGCCTTTACCTGTCCTAGGGATTTTGAGCTTTTATATGATTTTCGCCCGAAATCTCGCTTTTTGGTTAGTCCGAACGGTGGTCTCCTGTAACTGGATTGGTTTCTCATCTATTGCCAGAGACGCGATTCGGGCTGTGAAATTGTCGGACATCCCCGCCCGGGCCGCTCCTATTTTGGTCGGGCCAAGCTCTTTCCCGAGCGACTGTCCCGTAAATAGAGAGTCTTTTTAATTCCATGTTGATAAAACTACGTTAGTTAGATGAGCGATAACACGCTAAATGACGGATTCGCTAGATTGTTACTTCCAATTGGATAATAGAACGTTACATGGTCTCTATGGAAAAATTTAAAAAGAAAGAAATTTGTTATAGAAGTGACACGATGCAGCTATTTTATTTTTTTTAAATTACAATATATTTTGGTTTACCGATGATTATTGAATACAACCCACGTTTGATATACGAGTACATCTATTTGACTGGCTTTTTGCTGCGTTTGAGTTTGAGACCCCTGCCCTATATTTTTAACTACGAGAATTTAATAGCATAAATGCCCATTATACATGAGCTACCATGCAAAATTTCGTTTTTTAACCCATTCAGAAATATTAAACGAAACACACACACACATCCACGGAATTTTTTTTCATTAATTTAAAAATTAATAAGATTTTGAAGACGCTTGACTTTTAATTGTCCATGAAAATAGACATCTAAAGGCTAGCGTAAGGGTGAAACACTTGGGAGAAATAACCTTGACAATGCACATTTCTATACCATTATCATCCTGGAAAAACTCGTCGTACAAAACAATTCACTAATCGAGAGCCGAACCGGTAATTCACAAATAGGAGTAAGTAACATTGCCACCTTCAATGTGTGGTCTTCAATAGAAAATTTTGGAAAACGTATAAATCATGAGATATTTACTTTCCTGATTCTGTTATAAGTAACAGAAGATAAGTATGGCGATTGGTCAAAAAAATGACACCAACATTTCTACATTTTTGGAGTCGGAATCTTGAAACTTCGAGAAATGCAAAAAGAAAAATTCGCAGTTCTTTCTGTTCTATAGATGTTAACGCGTGTATAAGGGACACAATTTTGTTCACTCTCTTTGAAGTTTAATAACTCCTGTGCTTTTTGTCGAAAATTTCTGAAATTTTACAGGGAGGTTTGTGTACTAGATGATTGATTCTATTAAATTTTGGTGGTTAAAGGTCGACGGAGTAGGGAGATAAAGCGGGTCGTGTGTCATATCTCGTGTAGGATCGGACTTAATGACCATTTTACTCGTTATATTTACATTTTTTTGAAATATAAAACTCATTCCCACCCTCAAAATTAAGCTTTATGCCATTTTATAATAATTAATAACATAATAAGTTGTTTAATTTAATTAATAAAATGATGGTGCCACACGCAGGGAAAGGTAAGCAACTCGTTGCTGGAATTTTTTTTTAATGTATTAGATTGGTCACTCCGTGCGATAAACCTTTGTAAATAAATGGAATACTATAATATAATATAATAGAAGGTATAGAAGTACGAAATAAGCTAATAATCTTAACATTTGTTGTTATGTTTTGCCCGGGAAACGCCGGGCTCATCTGCTAGTAATTCTTAAATTAAATAAAACATCTACTAACGTGAGGTAGATAATAATGGCTTATCACATCAGTGATAATAGACACAAACACTCAGGAATCAATTTAGAACATTTAATGAAACAAAATAGTGTGTACAGTAAAAACGTCTACATGAGTATGAGTAATAAACATAAATAACCAAAATGCATTTCGGACAATTGGAAATAGTTCCTCTTCAGTTGGTATTAATTTAAAAAGGTTATTATACTTAAAATCATACAATACAAACCGCTATAACGATATGAGAATAAACATCAAAGGAGACAGGCGTAAAATGGATTCATATTACAAGGTGGCTTGACGTAAAGGGTACACAACAGTAAAACTATAGAATTGAAGGTGGCATAACAACAAGGTGCAGAGCGGTTACAAAGTAAGTGTGGTACAGACAACATCTGGTGAACAATTCAATAAATATTGTATTTAAAGAATCTGTTCATATTTCCATAATAAGAACACAAGAAATCACAGTTCTTTTCAAGGAAGATAAAACAATTTAATTAAAATTTTATTTAACCAAATTATTTTCTTCTTGAATAAATTAATTTTTTAGTCTCTCAAGTAAGTTAAAGGAATTAAAGTACTTCGGTTTTTAATTTATCAATACTTCTAGTTTTTAGATAGCATAAATTTTGATATTTTTAAATTTCATTTGAAGTGTTCACACCTTTAGATTGCTACTGGTAGTTGGAGCAGTATTCAAAATACATATTTTTCAATTTTGCTTCTGATGATCCTTTTGGTTTTTTTCCATCGTGTTCTTCAAAATTACTACATAAGAGCCGAAGGTTTTCTCATCCAATGAATTTGCCTCCACTTTCAAAACTTCATTCGATTCTTCAAAATGGCATTCTGTATCAGTACGAGGACGATGTCGTAAAGTGTAGACGTTGTTGCACGAGTTTTCAGAATACTTTTTTCTCAAAGAATCTGTGAGAAAAAAGCATTCTGAAAACTTTTTGATAAAATTCCGTTTTCTTCTCTGTTACTTCGTTTTCCTTTCTTTTTCAATATAATTCGAATTGTGTTACTTGCTGGGAGATAGAACAACACAGCAATAACGAAATAAAAAAAAATATATACACACGCAGGGAAAGGTAAGCAACGAGTNGATAGCATCTTATACATCTTACATGAATGATGGATGGATAAGCAAGAGGTCTGAATGTTATCAAATTTTCTTCCACATTAAATGGAAAGTGCATCATTAACCTCAATCTCAACCTGAAGAACTAGTATAAAGCCATAAAGTATAATGAAAATATGGTCATCTAGACATGATAGTTATAATCAAACCCCAAGAAAAACAAATGGTATAAGAAATTATTTTTTCATTTCCTTGTCATCTGCACATATAACTATCATCTTGTATAAAGACAAAAATCTGAACAAATACAGACGTATATTCGGTGAAACTATTCGACTTGATTAACGCACATACGAAAATTGGCGCGCAAACTGCATTATGGCAAAGACCCTTCTCTATTGGCCCGCTGTCACTACGCTTCGCCAATCGCGTTAATTCTTGACAGTTGTAGCGGACAGACGAACGTCATGGCAGTATGTGATAAATGATGATATCAAATGTGGATAACGATGAAATAACCTACACGTGTAAATAACGGAAAAATAAGAGAGAAGGACCGCGAATTGAAAATGTGAAAATAAATATGAAATTGAGTTGATAACATAATCGAACAAGGCAGCTTATTGGCACGAAATTCGCGGCTGTCAATGCCAAACAATGCTTGTGAAAGACTTCGGAAAGCTAAATGCTTGTAATGAAAGTCTCAGCTTGCACGGGCGAAAGCCTGAGACCGTTCGGACTACCAAGCAGCCCAAAAATACAAAGTATATATATATATATATATATATATACTTTGTATTTTTGGGCTGCTTGGTAGTCCGAACGGTCTCAGGCTTTCGCCCGTGCAAGCTGAGACTTTCATTACAAGCATTTAGCTTTCCGAAGTCTTTCACAAGCATTGTTTGGCATTGACAGCCGCGAATTTCGTGCCAATAAGCTGCCTTGTTCGATTATGTTATCAACTCAATTTCGTATTTATTTTCACATTTTCAATTCGCGGTCCTTCTCTCTTATTTTTCCGTTATTTACACGTGTAGGTTATTTCATCGTTATCCACATTTGATATCATCATTTATCACATACTGCCATGACGTTCGTCTGTCCGCTACAACTGTCAAGAATTAACGCGATTGGCGAAGCGTAGTGACAGCGGGCCAATAGAGAAGGGTCTTTGCCATAATGCAGTTTGCGCGCCAATTTTCGTATGTGCGTTAATCAAGTCGAATAGTTTCACCGAATATACGTCTGTATTTGTTCAGATTTTTGTCTTTATACAAGATGATAGTTATATGTGCAGATGACAAGGAAATGAAAAAATAATTTCTTATACCATTTGTTTTTCTTGGGGTTTGATTATAACTATCATGTCTAGATGACCATATTTTCATTATACTTTATGGCTTTATACTAGTTCTTCAGGTTGAGATTGAGGTTAATGATGCACTTTCCATTTAATGTGGAAGAAAATTTGATAACATTCAGACCTCTTGCTTATCCATCCATCATTCATGTAAGATGTATAAGATGCTATCCATATAGAAAATGCTCACTTCTAGATTTAATTTTTTCAATCAGTTGATAAATATTTTCTGTTTTTCTTATTGTACCACAAGTTTCTATTCCTTCTATTTTTAATGTTCCAAGGTTCTGGAGAATTATAATTGTGAGAATACGGACGAGGGTCCAGGCCCTCTAATCATCAGATCTGTTAGACCTGCTCACCTTGTCACTGGATGGCTTAATTTTTAAAAGAACCCGAGTGGTAAGATTCTGTGTGGGTTTGTGCATATGCAATGAATACCAGACCAGAAGGACATTAAATATAAAGTTAACAATTTAATCAAAGAAATAACAACAAGGACAATTAATAATACAACAAAACATAAAAAGATAACATAGGCGTACAGATATAACATACGACTATAATCCATATTACCGAGAATATAGAGGATATGGATGAGATAGGAATTATCTCTTATCACTCCTCTAGGGTCTATCTTAGATTTAAACCGAGAGAGAGAGTTTACAATAAACGTTTACCTCGTTGCTCATGTTGAAACCTTTGTTGTTCATTTCTTGGGGTGGCGAGTCCGAAGTACAGGTTCAGCTGAGGGAGGAGGAGCACTCACTTTGGCAATATTTTGAACGAACTCCTCAGTATGGCAATGTTGGAAACAACTGCCCCGAGTGTATTCAAGCCACTCTTTTTATCATCGTTTTCTGCACCATCATGATTATCAGAAATGATGTGTCAATGGACCAGGTGGTGTGCAAAATTCTCAGATATGAGGTGTGGAGGAAGGATACAAAACATCCTCATTTCTGGTTAAACTGCTGAGTAATATAGCAGTTTTGCAGGATGTTAAACTTTTATACCCTTTTTTGGTTATATTAACTTTATTCTAAATTATATCCTTTTTTAGCATTTTTAAGTGAAATTAAAATAAATTATTTATTTAAGTTTGTTTAGGGTGAAAATTTATGTATGTTTATGTAAATTTATGTAGGGTAAAAATTTACTCTTGGTAAGAGTACCTCTGGATTATCACATAATAATCATCAATATACAACTTATAATGTTTTCCAGAATAACCCTCAAGGAGCGAGTGCAACACTTCCAGACTGTCCAAATCTTTGTATTTTTCTGAAAATTTCGTAGTTTTTTTGTATAGACTATTATATCTAAAACATAATTAATTTTTCAATCAGCTAATATATATAATTTTATTCCAAATCAGGAACATTTTGATGGAATATGCTGTCAAAATGAAAGTCATCCCTTCCAAAGGAAAAGAGATTCATCAATGCATAAATTTTCATATGGATAGAAATTTGTATTCCAGGAGGCTTTTAGGTTTTGGAATATGTTTCCAAGTTTGGAAAGTCAGTCTGTTGGATTTTGTGTTAAAGTGTTGACAAAATGAAGCATTCTAAGGAGAAGCTAAAATCTATTTATAGACACAGTTTCTAGAAAACTGAAAATTTTGGGGTCACTGCTCCAATTGTCATGAATAGAATTTTTTCTAATACTCCCCATTAGCATGCATAGTCCAAAAAATATCATTATTTCTGTAGTTGTTTGTTTCTTAAAATCACGTTTAAATTATTAGGAGATAATAAATTTTTTGCACTGACCTAAGTCCAGTGCTTGTACTTGTCTACATACTTATGAATCTAATGAATCATCATGAAAGCAGAAGCATATCTCCATCTGAATCGGAATAAAAGAAATATTCGTGTATGTCTTCTGAATTATGTAGTTGATGTGACATACATTTTCACTTTACTTCTGAAAATCTACTTGAACAAATCAAAACAAACCTAGAAAGAATTGGATTGTGAAAAATGTGACAGACATCTTATATTTGTAATAAGTGCTCCATTAATGTAACCATTTTAACCAATGAAATAGACACAAAAATATACATATGCATATCCACGGAATTTTTTGCCACCCCTTTTTTTTTTACTTTTTGGGTTCAGGGGTCTCAAAATGTGGAGATTTGCAAAAACCCAGAGGGTCAAATTTGACCGATTTCAATACATAACAGCCAGGAAAGTAAAAGTAATATATATATATATAACAATTCCATAACGACATTGAACATGTTTCATGTTTTTTTATTTAGTACTGCTTTGAAAACAATTTTGTTTTAATAAATTTGGGAACATAACGAAAGGTTAATGAAATCCTTCGATTACGTTTTAAGTTCAAAGGATAATTACTTAAATGATCTCTTATGTTCACAATGTTGTTATTTATTTCGTCTTCAACCTTTTCATCGATGCCATGAAGATACTTATGATACATATCGTCTTTTACTACTAAAAGGCTTCGTGGTTCTAGTAAAACTGATGCTAGAAGTCTATTGGAATTAGTCTACAAAATATATAAAAATTTTCTAAATATTTATACTAAAACAATTATACTTTTAATAATTTAGAATTCAAATTTCTAGAAGCAATTATTTCATTAAACTAACATTCAAAAACATTTTTCATAATAGCTGAAGGAAACAAAATGAGTGAAAAATATAAATTGTAAAATTTGATAAAATCAAAGATTATCTAGAAAGAATCAAAGTATTTAAACAAATTAATAAATAGTTTAAAATAAATTTTAAAATTTAATCATATTGTCAATTAGCAATTACATAATTATTCATATTTCTATGTAAAAATTTACAAAATTACCTCCTCTTTTTCATTGTTAGAAGAATCCTCTTCATTTATTTTATGATAGTAATTTAAAATAGTATGAGATCCTAGATTAACAGTGGTAATAGTTGGATAAAAGAGGGGACCATCTTCATGTGGCTGAAATTATTAGTAAATTTAATAATAAATTATTTATATTATATTATATTTACATTATTAATAACGTAAATATATTTAAAACGTTAACGTTCATTTTTGTTCATATGACAAGATATTAACCTGTATGAATTAGTATATTCTTTCGCCGTTTCTCCAGATAACGCACACATCGTCCACATATCTTTTGTAAAACACAATATCTTTTTTGAAGCTATTAACAACGTGCTTTTCAAGTTGCGTAAAACCAGTTCATATAACAACCCTGACATTGGGCTTCCCATAGGTCAGGGTTGTTATGCGAACTGGTTTTATGCAACTTATCTTGAGTTTGATATTCAATTTATTCTAAAATTATGTTAGATTTAATGCAAAAAACCGCATCTGCGCCTGTAAATCTTGCATGTTGCTTTCTCTTAACACTTCCATTGTTGAAGCCTTAATCCTGTCACTTTCCCCGCAGAGGGGATTTCAAAAAACCCCTTGTTGGTGTGCGTGACATACCCTAACTGTGTACCAAATTTCAAGTTTCAACTCCTAACTGTACTGAAATGCTCACGATGAAATGCTCGTATACACACGCACAATCTATCATAGGATAAATGTACTATGCCAGAAATCTTCGCAGGAGTATATTAAACAACTTCCCAAAGTTTCATGGCAATCGGATAAATGGTGTAGTAATGCATGAAAGACAGACAGACAGCCATACATTCATTTTTATATATATAGATATACACTACCCTACCAAAAGTAATTGCACATCTATGCAAGTATCAGTAGTAGTATTTTATTACCAATTTTAGTACTAGTGGGATCTGCTTTGGCTTTAAGGATAGTGGACAGTCTGTGTGGCATACTTTCCACTAACTTCTGATACATCTCAAATGGTATTTTCCTCCATTCTTCCTAGCCAGTTCTCTAATAGATGATAATGGTTTGCATAAATCCTGATCCTTACTTTTATCTCTCCATTTGATAATTATATAACTCACTGTTGATCTGGTGACCTTTCATTTATGAATACCATCAGCAAACAAATCATTAATGTGAGAACCAACAATAATATCATATTCAAACGCTGCAAGTTCCTTGGATCAAGTCATATTAACTGTGAGTGGCAGATACCTCTGAGGTTCGACATTTTATACTGTACAATGTAGAACATATAGTTTGCAATTAAAATACAATTATCATTTGATTCACTTTGCAAATATCAGTGTCCAATTACTTTTAATATGATAATGTATATTGTAGACTGATTTTCATAAGTAACTGTCCTTGTAGAGAATTGCATTGTAATTCATCAATATTAATCAATTATATTGATTTTATTTGATTAAAGTATTTCAATCAACTTGATAATCATTATTTCCTCAAAGCATTTTTTAAAAAGCATATAAAAGTACTACTTTTTAATATTTAAAAATATATTTTTATATACTTAATAAATAGCCCAACATGTAGTCTACTATTAATTGAAAATAAATGTTAGTTACACAAATATTTTCATTATAATAAGTTTAAAAAATAAAATACGGTTTATTTTACTTTTTAAAATTCTATTAAGTACATTTTTTAAATTTTGCATAATGCAAAATATATTTTCATAACAAAAGTTGGTAACTGACAAAGTATCATATTCTAATCTCAAACTGATTGATAACTTTGCTAATGAGATGAACTGGCACACTATGAGTTATTTGGATAACTATGCCCTTTTTGAATAGATCTTATCTACAATTCAGTGATTTCTTGATAAAACAAACAAAGCCAAATCAACCAAGAAAATGTTTTGAGATTCAGATCTGATCTGGATCTTTCAGAAGAGAAGAACACCTTTATCATTTTGGCCATATGGTCAGTCCTATTATTCTAAATATAAATGAAATCAACAGCAGAAAACAATTACCATAATGCCTTGTCCTGGTAAATATTCATTTACAAGCACATGATTTGGAACTTTATCTTCAAAGACACCAAGTTCTGCTATTTTCTTGGAATATATCTGTAACCACTAAATTTCAAAACTTATTACTACCACTTGTTTAAAAGTCATAGTTCATAACATTTCTGATACATGCTTCTTGTCCTTAATTACATATATTATGCTTTTGTCCACTTTGAATGTTATTTTGAACTAGGACTTGTTATACCAAGGAAAGAGAATCACACAATTTCAAATTAAAATATCTTTAATGTAACTTATTCCTGTACATCACTACATTTTAGCATTTCGGGCTTTTCGTCCAAAGTGGACAAAAGCATAATATAGTACATAATAGATAATTCAAAAATCTTAAAATTGTAAATGAAATTTAAATTTAGAAAAGAATACTTCTTACATTTGGCATTGGTTCTACAACCATTCCTTTTGGATGAGGTAATCCACCTGAAAATAATAATTTTATTATTAAATTAGACAATTTTATATTTAATGATATACTTCAATAAGTCACTGTATTTACATATGTTGTATCTATGGTGAAACATAAAATGATGTAAACATCCATTTATTTACATTAATGACCAAAGTAACATGACATTTTTGACCAAACATTCATGCCACTGTCCTAACACATTAATATTCATGTCTTTCACCAGAGATCATGATCTTTTCAGGTAATTATGGTGGTCAACAATCACCAGGCATCAACACGAATGGTAGTCAATCATTGGTCATTGTTGAATATCAGTGTGGCAAATTGCTTTTTGATTCATTTTTTTCTGGAGCATCCTACACTGGCAGGGCTGGATTAACCCACTTTGGGGCCCTAGACATTTTCTTCTTACCAGGCCCCCTCCCTCTCCCACAAGAAATAGAGCACACAAAAAATATAATGTTGATACTATAAAAAAACAATATATTTTTGTTTATTTGTTTATTATATACAGTTGTGAACTATCTTATTTACAAATCTTTTCAAAATACACAGTTTGACCAGGCCCTAGACATTTGTCTCATTTGTGTATGCCATGATCCAGCCCAGTACACTGGAGATTAAAAATATTTATTTACAGGTAACCCTCATATAACACGGCACTTCTATAGCATGGATTCACTCTAACACGGTTCAAGAATTGGTACCATCCCTGTATAACATGGTACTGTTATAGCAAGGATTCACTCTGACACAGTTCAATTGGGTAAAATCCTTGTACAACATGAAATGTAATAAATTTTTACATACTTAAGTAATAATAGTTAACGAAAATTATTATTTTCATAAACTATTAGTACTTAAGTATGTAAATTTTCTTTTCTCGCCTTCTGTCAATACACATGGTCCTCTCGAAACTTGTTTCAATGTTGCCAGATCTCGATGCTTCTGCTTCTGATGTTGCCAGATTTTTTCCTTATTCCATACTTGCTTTATTCTTCATAAGTGCTTAGCACCATATAAGGAAAATTATAAAGATCTTTTAACTAGAAGCAAGCAATCTAAAATTACATACTTTTTGCAAAAGGTAAAGCATGGATCTGAAGATAATGCAGAAAAATGCTCAGAGGATAAGGATAACTTGCCAAAAAGAAAACGCTCTCGGTTAATAGTGCTTTTAGTGATGACGAAGAAAATGTTGTTTAATTTATATTAAAATATATCACTTAATAAAGATATTTATCTTAATTATGAAAATATAATAGCATGTTTTTTAATTTTTGGAACCTAACCCGCCTTTTTGTACTAGTTCTTTGTTTCCTATAACATGGATTCGCATAACATAGCAATTTTTTGGAATGTAAATACTGTGTTATATGGGGGTTACCTGTAGTTATATAATGCAGGCATTTGAGATATATTTATTTTCTGGGCATCTTCTGCTTCCTAACGTTTAAAAGTAAGTAAATGTAAACCTAAATAAGGCATAAACTTTAGTATATGGCCTTCATAACTTTTTGACGTCCAGACAAGAAGGTATAGGCCTACATTATAGATAACATTTATTGTATATTAGTAAAATAACAAAAACTGAATTAAGATTATAGTCCTTCCAACTTATAAATGGTTTTCAAAACAGTTTAAACCAATTTTTACCCAGTTATAGGGAAAGATATATAGAACAGAGAAAGGGCTACAAATAAATAAACAGTAAATTCTACTTCACAAAGCAGTTAGGCTGTTTTGTAAAGAAGTTAGTAGAAGCATAAAAGGTTCTTTTAGAATAGATTTATAAGACTTTAAAGTAAAATATAAAACAATCAAAAAATATTTGCATTTTATTTCTAAAGTTTATGTTCATAAAAAACTTTTAAAGATTAAATAAATATTAATATTAATTAACAATACTTTTTAAGTGCTAATTATACATAAAAAATGATTTATTATTGTACATATTTATAGAAAATATTAACACATTTGAATTATGATTTAAAAATGCATTCATCTTCAGATGATTTGATTTCTGTCAGAATCAAATATCTTCATTTAGACGATATGAAAACTGAAACTTTTTTAAAGATGCTGTTGTGCTTTTACTAATTCTATGATTAAACATAAATCAGATAGAGTATGACCTCGTCAGACAACTAACAATTTGTTTTGGTGTATTACCAAAGAGGAAATCTCTCTACTTCATCTGACAGTTGAAGGGAATATTAAATGATTTCCATCTATCGAGATATAAGATAATGAGACACTGAAGAACCTAGAGAAATGTGAATCATACTTCTATTCAGCATCCAAAGTGATTTTTGTACTTGTGATGATTACTGTCATTTAATTTTAATAATGGAAGTAATCTAGTTTACATACAATTTAGTTATGATATATTTTCTTAAAGTTCATACCCCAATTTTGTAATCTTCTATTTGATAAAGTGGTCCACTTTGGTTTAGGAGCATTATCAACTTTTCTTATTAATAATTCTTCTTCACTTTCCGTTATGAAGTCTCTTATATAATAAATAGTGGGTGGAACCTATCAAGATATATCGATATTGTAAATTAAATCATATCCAAACTTATTTTAAAAAATTCATTCGAAATTACGAACAAACCTCTGAGAGAATATATCTGTTTATTTCAAATTTGTCACAATCCATGTGTACATTTTTTAAATTTTGCATAATGCAAAATATATTTTCATAACAAAAGTTGGTAACTGACAAAGTATCATATTCTAATCTCAAACTGATTGATAACTTTGCTAATGAGATGAACTGGCACACTATGAGTTATTTGGATAACTATGCCCTTTTTGAATAGATCTTATCTACAATTCAGTGATTTCTTGATAAAACAAACAAAGCCAAATCAACCAAGAAAATGTTTTGAGATTCAGATCTGATCTGGATCTTTCAGAAGAGAAGAACACCTTTATCATTTTGGCCATATGGTCAGTCCTATTATTCTAAATATAAATGAAATCAACAGCAGAAAACAATTACCATAATGCCTTGTCCTGGTAAATATTCATTTACAAGCACATGATTTGGAACTTTATCTTCAAAGACACCAAGTTCTGCTATTTTCTTGGAATATATCTGTAACCACTAAATTTCAAAACTTATTACTACCACTTGTTTAAAAGTCATAGTTCATAACATTTCTGATACATGCTTCTTGTCCTTAATTACATATATTATGCTTTTGTCCACTTTGAATGTTATTTTGAACTAGGACTTGTTATACCAAGGAAAGAGAATCACACAATTTCAAATTAAAATATCTTTAATGTAACTTATTCCTGTACATCACTACATTTTAGCATTTCGGGCTTTTCGTCCAAAGTGGACAAAAGCATAATATAGTACATAATAGATAATTCAAAAATCTTAAAATTGTAAATGAAATTTAAATTTAGAAAAGAATACTTCTTACATTTGGCATTGGTTCTACAACCATTCCTTTTGGATGAGGTAATCCACCTGAAAATAATAATTTTATTATTAAATTAGACAATTTTATATTTAATGATATACTTCAATAAGTCACTGTATTTACATATGTTGTATCTATGGTGAAACATAAAATGATGTAAACATCCATTTATTTACATTAATGACCAAAGTAACATGACATTTTTGACCAAACATTCATGCCACTGTCCTAACACATTAATATTCATGTCTTTCACCAGAGATCATGATCTTTTCAGGTAATTATGGTGGTCAACAATCACCAGGCATCAACACGAATGGTAGTCAATCATTGGTCATTGTTGAATATCAGTGTGGCAAATTGCTTTTTGATTCATTTTTTTCTGGAGCATCCTACACTGGCAGGGCTGGATTAACCCACTTTGGGGCCCTAGACATTTTCTTCTTACCAGGCCCCCTCCCTCTCCCACAAGAAATAGAGCACACAAAAAATATAATGTTGATACTATAAAAAAACAATATATTTTTGTTTATTTGTTTATTATATACAGTTGTGAACTATCTTATTTACAAATCTTTTCAAAATACACAGTTTGACCAGGCCCTAGACATTTGTCTCATTTGTGTATGCCATGATCCAGCCCAGTACACTGGAGATTAAAAATATTTATTTACAGGTAACCCTCATATAACACGGCACTTCTATAGCATGGATTCACTCTAACACGGTTCAAGAATTGGTACCATCCCTGTATAACATGGTACTGTTATAGCAAGGATTCACTCTGACACAGTTCAATTGGGTAAAATCCTTGTACAACATGAAATGTAATAAATTTTTACATACTTAAGTAATAATAGTTCACGAAAATTATTATTTTCATAAACTATTAGTACTTAAGTATGTAAATTTTCTTTTCTCGCCTTCTGTCAATACACATGGTCCTCTCGAAACTTGTTTCAATGTTGCCAGATCTCGATGCTTCTGCTTCTGATGTTGCCAGATTTTTTTCNTTCATAAAGATAGTTTTTCTAATGCTTAATTGATTATTTTAATTTGCATCTTCATAACTGCTTTAAGAAAAACAAATATATCTGTTTTGAATTAAAACATAATTCACTTGTATTTTTTTCAAATCAAATCTTTCTTTTTGCAGCTAATTTCTGAGGATTTGTAGATAATGTCTATCCCTTCTCATGGGAAGCAAGCAGGATCAATTGACTAGAGAATCATATTTATGGTAACATTAAAAACATTCATTCTATTGCATTTCTTGTATAACTTAATAAAGAATCCTTTCTTTGTTGTGAAACTTTCTTATTTAAAAATGCAATACAATTCTTATTATTTTTATTTTGTAAATATACTAGAACATCAAAAAAGTAGTAATTTTAGTAGTAAAGATCTTCCTCAACCTCTGGGAAATTCTAATAAAATCAAAAAAACTTTTATAACAACTTTCATTCAAAAGTATTTTTTCTACATACCATTTTTTTAACATTTGAAAACAGTAATTTAAAGTTTCTCCTGTATATATACATGAAATATTAATAAAATAACTTTTAAATCATCTAACATTCATAAGAAAATAAATAATATCAATATATTCAGATATAAACAATGAGAATGTTTAAAATAACAAAAAAAATTTCTTAAAATAAGTATTACAATGTTTTGACTAGACTGATCTACATGTAACTGGAATATATTATTATTCTAGTTCAAAATTTTATGTTTAAGCTGGAACACTAGTACATCCTAACTGCACTTGGTGCTTGTGAAAGATAATCTGTTCTCTCTCAAAATGGCACTAACCTGAATGTGCACACAAGGTCGACCCAATGGACGAGGCAATGAGGTCTCAAGAAGCAAAGTGAGTGGTCAAAAATAAGTAAAATAAGCCAAATACAATAAATATACAACATACAATGACTTTTATTTATCATGGCATCTGTTACTGCAGTTTCCAACTGATACAATAAATATACATTAAAGTCGTTTATAAATCATTCAACACGAGTGCAGTAGTAGAAGTGCTCTCTGTTGCCATCCATTTTGGATACAGAGGTAACAAAAATCAGTCTCGCCTCAGGTGACGTTACCATTGAGCTAGCACTGCATGCACTAGTTTTAAAGTTGCCAACATTAACAGCTTAGGATGCATTACTGTTCCAACTAGAAACTTATATGAAAATTATGGATGGTCTTATTTTAGAGGTAAGCATTTTTTAACATTTTATTTCGTTAAATTTATATAAATCATTATATTAGTAAACTATTCTAATTTTAGCCATGAAAATTTTTTTTACTAGAGACTAAGAAAGCAACAAATGAAAAATGTAATGGTTATATCATTTATCAATTATAAATTCTAATTGATAAATCAGTAACATTTCATTGATACTGTGTTAATACGGCAATAATGCATTGCAATTAACTGTCATCAAAACCAATTAAAATTATTTTTCTTTACTGTTAAAGTATTACCTGTAATTACATGTTTAAAGACTGAATGTCATTAAACATGTTTTTGAATTTCTGATAATTTAATGTCAGCAATAAAGTGAATTTAAATAACTGATTCAAAATGAACATAAAAGAGTAATAATGTAATAATCGAGAAAATGTACATATTTCTTATCTTAAACATTAATTGCTTTTAGATGGATTTTTATCACAGAAACCATCTCATTTTCCTTACATATTATCAATATTAATTGTAATTTACCATACTAAAAGAATATGAAAATATGACAAACAATAAAAAGACAAGTATAAATAATAAAATGATACCAGTAATATCCAACAAATAATATACTTTGCTAATAACAAAAACAAAAATTTTTGGCAATTTAAAATTCATCAAAAACATTTTTGTTATTACAGTATTTAGTAAACTATATCATTTACTGGATATTACTCGTATCATTTCATTATTTATAAGTCTTAAATCCAGTTTTGAACAATAAAAATAGAAATAATAGATAAAGAAGTCTGACAATATATCAAATGATTTTTAATTTGCATTATAATTACAAATTTCTAAAATTTTTCTATAAGTGCAGTGCATTGCTGAGATAGATCTCACAGTCTTCATGTAAAGTGTTTCATAAATATAGTTTATTGCTTTTAAGTTATCAATTATTTTGATTGTATCAAATTTAGTATGATATTTTTTCTTTTAATAAGTGCAACTGCCTCATCAATACTGCTGAGGAAATATTAAAATGATAAAGATAATTCAAAATGTGAAATGCAACCTCATAAATCTTATGAAAAATATTTAGAAATTTTGTTTGCAAAGAAAACAAACTAATGTTTTTCTTTACAAAGTGTGTTTAATTAATTTATCATCAAAGATTTGTAAAATATAAGAAATTCTAATGCATGATTGTAGATTTTATTATTTATAATATTAATTATTTTACTTTTTATACCATTTCATTTCATAATGGTTAAAAATTTTATTGTAAATATTAAAAGTATTACAATAAATTATTTGCTGTAATACTTTTAATATTTACAATAAAAAAATTTATAAGTATATAACAACATATAAATAAACCGCTAACACACACCGGAACAATATAAAAATAACTTATCTCCAAACCTATAACCGATGTGAAAGAATTTCAATCGCAAACGTTTTCGGACACCACTGTATCCTTCTTCAGGCAATGTTCTATTCGTAACACATCGTTACTGCCCGTTGTCTTTGGAACGCCTTTCAAAAATGTTCTTATTTCGAGTTCCGTTGGGCATCACGTGCTTTTTCAAACCGAAATCTCAGTATCCACGTAACGATCTTTTATTCGTACGATAGAATTACGTAATTTTCGAATAAATTTGTTTTAGCGTGTCATAGGTGGGAGATAACACGCGCCCTTCTTCCTTCCGCATTCTAAATAACGATGTCGATTAATCCGAGTCTCCTTTCCGTAATAAGGCTTGCCATGCCAACGATAATGTCATCTCATCCTTGTAATTGATGGGGGTTGCCGACTCGTAGGCTCTGCATATCTCCATTTGTTCTAGCCACCTAAGTTGGTCTACATACGACGTCGTGATGAGAAGTTTGGCCCTCGTGAAGTCCGCCGATATCTCCGGGTCCGATGCATACACCGATAAAGCCGTGCTACANGTCGGAGTAAGGTGGAAGGAGCACCAAAAGGACATCGAGCACAATAGATGTAGCACGGCTTTATCGGTGTATGCATCGGACCCGGAGATA